GTCCCTGCCGGAAGGAAGAGATGTGCCAAGACCGGAGGCCTCTCCCCTGGTGCAAGTTCCAGGTAAGTTGACCAGTCTCCACTGAGAGGAGACACAAAGCCGGGCAGTGGTCCAGACCCTGATTCTTCCTGAAACAGCAGGGAGAAGCGCCCCAAGGCCTGTGCACCCCGCCCCACCTGACCCCTAATGCACTAAAGACCGCACCGCACCCTGTTCCAGCCCTGCCGGAGGAGGAAGCTAGGTCTAGGGTCCGGTACGCCCCGCCCAGGGAGTAAGCCCTGCCCCCACACGCACACAACTGTCCCAGTAGATAAAGGTGCCCCGGTGGCTGCGCTCCTAGCTATCCTAATGCGAGCACTCCTCGCCATGTCCCACTACAGCATGCTGTTCGCTTGGATCCTCTTTGCCCTCCTTGGAGTGGCTCAGAAAGCAGAAGGCCAGGCCAGCTGTGACTTCATCGTGCCTCGGAGAGAGTGGAATGCCCTGGCTTCCGAGTGCACCGATCGCCTGAGCCTGCCCGCGCGCTACGTGGTGATATCGCACACGGCGGGCAGCACCTGCGACTCCCCCACCACCTGTGAGCAGCAGGTCCGGAACGTGCAGTTCTACCACATGCGCACGAAGGGCTGGTGCGATGTGTCCTACAAGTGAGTGCGGCGGGAGGCCAGGCTGCGGGAGAGGGGCAGAGGTGCAGGGACGTGCCTGGCTGACACTCCGGAGAGCTCACTCAATCTCCGAGGTCATCACCAAGGCTGGCCACGTGCAGGCAGCAGGTGCTCTGGGGACAGGGCAAGCTTTGCCTCAGCAGGTAAGTCCCGTCGCCCCTCTCCCAACTTCTACAGAAGCATCTCATTCAAAAAAGCTGCTACCCTATCAGGAAGAGGCATCATGACTGATTAAGTGGGATTTGAGGTTCCAGGGTCACCAGGGTTTATTTTTGCCTCAGACCCAGTGCAGCTCCCTCCCCAGCAAGGGCTGGTACCACCTCTCAGCTTCCCCCTCTGCAGTCAGTGAGACTGTGGAGGCCTGGTGCATGCAGCACACCTAGGACACGGCCGAGCCTGTCACAGGTGCCCCAAGCCCACAGGCCACTGCCATTAGACACCAGCTCGTGCCAGGCAGTGTGCAGGGCACTAGAATGAGACTGCAGAAAACAGTGCCACTCTATCCCTGCATGTGACTGAAAGCGAAACAAGAGAAACAAGATGGACGCTGACAGCGATGGAAGTGATGGATAAAAGGAACAGGGCAGTGGAAGGTAACCTCAGAAGCCAGAGCCAGACCACTACAGCTCCTTCAGAGAGCCAAAGAAAGTGCAGAGACAGTGGTTTTGGGGTGGCGCTGGACCAGGCAGCCAGGGAATGCTGCAGTGAATGGGGTGCAGGTGCAGAGAGGGAGCAGGTCTCCTAGGCAGCTGGATGTAAGGTGGGGTGGGTGAGTAGAGTGAGCAAAGGGCTGGCAGGGGACGGACTTCAGAGCCACGGAAGGTTCTGAGCAGCAGAGGCACTCACTGGCTTAGGTGTAAGAGGCTGCTCTGACTGCTGTGTGGAGAACAGTCTGCCGATGTTCACCTTGTCATGGGGGCAGAAACAGAGCCTGAGGTCGGGTGGCTCGGCTTCTGGGGCTGCGTCCACCAGCTCTTTCCAGTGTACCAAGCTGAGGTCCACAAGCACATCCACAGAGGGAACATCTGAACCCCACAGGGTCTTCCTCAGGACAATAGGACCACAGGTACCTGCAGAGCTTACTGGAAGTACAGCTCGCCAGGCCCCACCCAGACTACACCAGCAGATCCCAGAGCAGCCTAGAAGCTGCCAGGGTTCCTCCACTCCCTGCACCCCAGTGGAAGGTAACCTCAGAAGCTAGAGCCAGACCAATTTCATCAAAGGTTCCAACTTTTGGGCTCATTTCCATGGGTCAGATGCCCTCATCCTAACTGTTCCCCTCCGGGTCAGGAAGATGGAGCCTGGCCCTACAACTGCTAGTCTAAATGGCTTATGGAAAAAATGTCTACTTGCCAGATTTTGGGGTTCAGTACCTGACACTCAACACCCCTCTGTTATCATATCACATTCTCTCCAAGCCTGTGTCCCACCTATAAATGGGGTTCTTGATGATACCCACCTGGCAATGGTGGCCAAAGTTTAAATGTGATGTATCCAGATAAAATGTAGAGAGAGCTCCTGCCCCAGGGCCAGGTTCCCACAGAGCCACTGCCTGCCCAGATCCAGCAGTGGTACCACTGGGGTGACTCTAGTCTCCTCAGAGAGATTCTGTGAGCTGGCTTCCCTAAGTAGCAGACCAAGGGACTTGGATTGGGAAGTCCAACCTTCCAGGTGTCATAGTGACCCTGTGAATCTGCAGTTGGTTCAACTCCAAGGTGCTGATCTAGACCATGTCAAGGTGCCCAGAGAGACTCAGTCAAGATGTACTGAAAGCCTGCAGGATCTGCTGCCGGGGCTGGAAACCTCCAGAGGCAGAAAGGATTTCAACCTCTGAGCCCCTAATTCTGTTCCCCAAGTGGACCCAAATGGCCAGAGGCAGAGTGGGGGAAGGGCAAACAATGTGGTTTTCTGAGCCTCTGCTCCTCAGTCTTAACAAGGGGAAGACAACTACCTACCTCAGAGCTTGTGTGGCAAAGCAAGAGTTTGACAAATCCTCCAGAGAGGGATGAGAGGAGGGGTAAGATCATGTGTACGGTGGGAGCTACAGAGACCCGAATGGAAACGCAGGCTCTGCCCAAATGCTGAGTGACCCTGGGCAGATAACTCCACCTCTCTGAGTATCCGTAACACGGGTGACACTGGCTCACAGGGCCACTTTGCAGATGAGAACAAGGCAGACACAGAGCTGTGCTTGGTGTGTGGTACCAGGCACATCAATGACCATGGTGGAAAGCAAAGGGGTGAGGATGTTGGGGAAGGGGGATGAGATGCTGCCCCCCTAAACCTTCCTCACTCAAGCCCCTGATCCTCCCATGCAGCTTCCTGATTGGAGAAGATGGACATGTCTATGAGGGCCGGGGCTGGAACATCAAGGGTGCCCACTCAGGTGCCAACTGGAACTCCAGATCCATTGGCATCTCCTTCATGGGCAACTACATGGGTGAGTGACATCCAGGAGGGAGGGTGGCACAGGGCTGGCAGGTGGCAGGGCAGTGTGAGTGGTGGCTGAGGCTCTGCCATCTCCAAGCTCTGTGACCTCAGGTCAGGGACTGCATTTCCGAGCCTCACTTCCTCTTCTGATCATGAAACCATTTTCAACCACAAGGTGGGCGTGAGGATTAGTTATCTACACAAAATCTTCAAGCCAGTTCAGGGCACCCAGGAAGTATTTAATAGATGTTGGCTCGTGTGGGCAGGACAGAGGTTTGGGGGCAGAGGCGGGAACAAGCTATCAGCACTGCAATAGCCAGCACTCACTAAGGGCCTCACTGAGCCAGACACTGCTCTGTGGCGCTTACACGCAGTAACCATTTCCCCTCCACAGTCGTGGGATGAGCAAGCTGAGGCACAGGGTGACTAAAACTAGCTCAGAGCACACAGCCACACCCCCTACTACGTCTGCCCTTTAGAGGGAGCACCAGCTTAACTTCATCTGCCCCTGCAGAGCGGGTACCCCCAAGACGGGCTCTCCGGGCAGCCCAGAATCTGCTGGCCTGTGGTGTGGCTCAGGGAGCCCTGAAATCCAACTACCAGCTCAAAGGACACCGGGATGTGCAGCAGACGCTCTCTCCAGGCGACCAGCTCTACCAGATCATCCAGACTTGGCCACACTACCATGAGTGAGGGCCTGCTCCTTGGCCGCCCCACCCCTCCCGCAGCCCCCAATAAAGATGCAACTCCAACTGTGTTCCTGCGCAGGTCCTGCAGCACAGCCCCTTCCTCCCCGCCTTCCTCCCAGCATTCTGTCCTCACTGGTGCTCAGAACCCAGAGGCCCCGACCCTGAACCAAGACCCCGGAGATCCCAGCTTGAAACTAATATCACAGCTCAGAACCCAGAGGTCTCAGGTCAGAGCCCAGGAATCAGCACCAAGCAGGTTCAGATGTCACCAACAGAAGCTCAGGGGTCTTCTCAGGCAGTGGGCCATGCAGCCGGATATACCTTCCCCAGCACACAAAGACATCCCATGCAGAATTTCTGCTTGGACTCCTTTGGAGACAGGCTGCTTACTACTACCCCGCAGCTCCTTCCTTGCCATGTGTGAGAGCCTCACCGACGTGTTGCCTGAGTCCGAGTGATTCCCAGGACGGAATCATGAGAAATGGAGACAGCTGGCTGTCAGTAGCTCAATGCTACTCCCACCAGACGTGGCCAGAAGCACCTCAGCTCCCAGTTATTTCTCCCCACCATCCTCCTTTCTCCCCACTCCGCCTCACCCTTCAGTTATATGCTAATGGGTCCCGAGGATGAACACGTTTATTTACAAAATGTATACCCCTCCTTCCCAGTGTGCACTGCGTGGAGAGCGCAGGGTCAGGGCCTCACACACCTGTGACCCCAGACAGGTAGGGTTTGGGCGAGGCTGGAAGGCCACCCTGGACCTGGTGGGCAGGGGTGGAAAGGCAGTGCCAGCCCTCCATGGTCACGACCGCGTGTCCAGCCGGTTCATGTATTCCTGCAAGGCCTTCAGGCGGGCATCTATTTCCGCCATGTCAGCGGCCTGGTGGTCCGAGCTGTACTCTGGGAGGACAGGCATCAGTGTGAGGGGCTGGGGATGGTCTGAAGCCACAGGAAGCTCCAAGCCAATACACTGCCCTCATGATCATCCAGCAGGTATGGGGGGACCCCAGGCTCACCTTTTATGGGGACCCAGCCCCCTGAACTGGCCAGGCGTCTCTGACTACTGCATTCCCGAGGGGTGGATTTCTGGTGATTAGGGAGGCAGACAGGGGGTCAGGCACTCTCCCTCTGTCTCCCCTTGCCCTACAAGTGCCACCGGAAATTCTGAACCCCAGGGCCTCAGAGAAAATAGGGCTGACACCTACTGGGCACGCTCTACATCAAAACCACCTTGTACCTAACCTGTCACAAAGACCCCTCCAAGCTGATGTCATTCATACCTTGGCCGGGTTAACTGGTAATGCAACGGAGGCACCAGAGGCTAAATACTTGCAGCCATACAGGAAGAAGCAGCACCCAGATTTGAAATCTGCTAACTTGAGGCCACAAGCTTACAGCATCCTAGGTGCTCCACTCTTCTTCCCATCAATCACATGATCCTAAAGCACCCTGTTTCCAGAAGCATCTCAGTCACCTCTGCAACCTGAGCCCCAGGACGGAAGCATGAGAAATGGGGACAGCTGGCCTTTAGTAGCTCAATACTACCTTTTCCTCCTCCAAGGCCTGGCAAAGACACTTACTGTATTAGAACCACTCCAAGGTGTGGGGCTGGGTGGCTTCCTATGGCGGTGACAGCGAAGGCTGAGAGAAGGGGTAAGTGAGGATCAATGATGGGTTGGTTTTTGGTACTTCCCATGTGGCCCACTGCCCTAGTTTCAAGTCCCCCAGCCTCCATCACCCATTTTCCCTGAAAAAGGCTGTGTGCATTCGCCCCAGACATCCTTTTGAAATGGTCCTTGGCCCAGTACCACGTTTTACCCTCTGGAGAGTGACTCTGAGAAATCCAACTCGCTGCAGGAGCTGGCCGAGGAGCAGCGGCTGCGGATACTGTCCACTAGGGGGAGACGAGGGCAGTGGTCAGCCCAGCCCGCCGGTGTCCCATCCCGCGCCCCTAAAACCCCAGCACCAGCTCCAGGCCACTGACCTGAGGAGCTGCGGTGGCGGGAGCGATTGGCTGTGTCTCCTCGGCTGGTCACAGCAGCAGGGGGCCGGGCCTGGCGAGACCATGACATGGATGGGCCGTCCCCACTTCCTCCACTGCCTAATCGGTTCCGCTGCTGCTGCTGCCTGAAAAAAACAAGACAGACGCCTGTTTCGCGCCCAAATCATGATGGGAAGGGTGTCGCTGTGTTCCTGAGCCACAGCCAGAGCTGGGGACCCTGCCACGTGGCACAGGAGGGGAGAGAGCAGGCAGCGACGCAAACCTGGTGGAACTAGGAGAGAAAAGCAAGCAGCACAACTGAGCAGTCAGGAGAGGGGGCAGGGTCAGGCGAAGCGTGGGACGAAGGTGGGACAGCTGGGAGCGGGGAGTGGCGAGTGACAGTAGATGGCAGCCAGGACCCGGGCTGGGATGAGGGCAGCGGGGAGGAAAGGCATACTAACTTCATCCGGATCTCCCTCTGCTTCTTCTCCTTGGCTTTCACGAAGGCTGTGGGGTCGAAGCGCGGTGCGCGCCCACCTAGGACAGTATGGGGGTGACGAGGGGCAGGGTCACTGCCCCACCCCGGACCCCCCAACTCAGGCGGGGCTCAGACCTGAGGGCGAAGGCGAGGGGCGGGTGGGTCGGCCCCGACCCCGGGTCCCGCGGCCGCTCTCCCTTGAGGAAGACCGGGCGGCTCCACGGCCCCGTGATGTGGAGCGCTCCCGCGACGACACCCGGTCCTCCCGGGCCGCGGGCACCAGCAGAGTCCGCCTCCTGCAAGCACAGGACCCCATCAGGTCCCACTGCCAGGTCAGAGCCCAGTCCTGTCCCGGACGTCCCCCAGGCCCGGCCAAGTTATCTGCCAGCTCCAGAGCCCCTCACTGAGCCCTAAACCCTGCCCCCTTCCATCACCTGTCTGCCGACCCCCTGCATGGTCAGGCTTTCCCTCCCCAGCACCGCCCCCCCCCAGATCCCCGCTGCCCTAAGACCTGCCCAACTTCCTGCCACCCACAGTAAAATCCAGGGAAGGTCGCGGGACCCCATCGGCCCTGCCCTCTGGATAGCCCACTCCCGAGTCTCCCTGCACCACCCCCGCCCCACCCAACCCCGCCCACCCTACAACGTTCTGACTCCGCCCCCCGCCTGGGTCCCGCCCACCAGCCCCAAACCCACCTGCAGCCTCCGAGGAGGCTCCGAGGCCCCGCCCAACCTTGGCCCCGCCCCTCACCCCCTTTTGTACGAGGCCAGCTCGCAGTTCAAAGTCTTCAGCCGGGCGCGCAGGCTGCGCTCTGACTCCTTCACCTCCTCGAGCTGTGCGGAGGAACAGAGCAGCGCCAGGATCCAGACCCATGCCGAGCCCCGGCCCAGCTTGGCCCCGCCAGCCGCCCCGCCCCTCACCTCCTTGGCCAGGCGGCGGCAGTCCTGGCCTCGGCGGGCAGGCGCCCGGTGTCCGAGGCCGCGCTCCTGCCGCAGCTCCAGCTCCAGGCCTCGCACCAGCCCGCGCAGCTGCTCGGCCTCTTGGCGCGCCGCCCGCCCGGCCAGCGCCTCCTCCCGCGAGCGGCCCAGTTGCGCCTCCAGCTCGCGCTTCTCCGACGCCAGTCGGGTCACCCTGCGGGGAAGGAGACTGGGCTAGAGAGGGAGGAGGACACCATCAGGTCCATCTCCTTTCAGGCGGGCCTCCAACTTCTGGGGTGGGGAAGCCCTCCTGCTTCAGCCTTCCGATTAGCTGAGCTACCACCATGCCCAACTGTTGGAAGCAAAACAAAAACTATTGCGCCAGAGTCCGTGCAATAGTGAGAATTACGTGAGGTAACTAGAACACATTATTTTAGCAAGTAAGATACAGCCTAAAGCCTAAGGAAAAAAAGGGGGCTGAGGAGATGGCTCAGTGGAATAAGCGTTTGCCTGGCAAACACAAAGGCCTGAAAAAATTACTTTTTGAGCCGGGGATTGCTTAGTACAATAAGCACAGGCCTGAGTTCAATCCCTGGTTCCACCAAAAAAAAAAAAAAGACAAAAATTGGGCCAGGGACATAGCTCAGTAGAATAAGCGTTTGCCTGGCAAGCGCAGGGTCATGAGTTCAATTCCCAGTACCACAAATAAATAAATAAAGTTTTTTTAAAAAAGACAAAGAAAGAAAACCTGCAAAGCCTTAAATTTTATTCACAGTTTTGTTTTGTTTTGAGCCAGGGTCTCTGTATGCGGCTCTGCAATCCTCCTGGCTCAGCCTCCCGCAGGGCTGGGACCACAGGCGCGCACCATGACACCCGCCTTTTCACAACACTTATATTTAGCAATATATTGGTATTATTTAGGATGAAGCAAATAATTATGTCTCTATCCCTGGAAACAGATTTTCAGCAAGAGAAAAGATGCAACTGCACAATTGAGGAGGTTAGCTAAATACAGACTTTATTTTTCTCTAGCTAAAAAATGTATCTGTTTCCTGGTTCTTTACACTAAAAAGTCCTAGCCTCAGTGTGGACCTTCTGACACCCTTAATAGCCACACCATGGTATCTAAACACATCTAAACACCGTTTCCTCTAAAAGTAACAAGAACTTTCTAGAAAAATGACTTACACCACTTCTCAGGTTGAGAAGGGCACCAAAAAAGGCAGAGATGTTGAAATTCCACCAAGCAAGGAAGCCACCAAAGACTAGTGGGGTCAAGAGCATAGAGGAGGGCTGAGGACGTAGCTCAAGGGCACAGCGTCAGTAAAGGAAGTGATTAACTGTGATAGACTAGCAGCAGTCCCTACCTGGAGGAGATCTGACTCTGTCAATGCCACCTTGGACAGTAAAAAGAAACTTTACAGATCTGAGAAGTTAAGGATCTTGACACGATTATTATGGAGGATTCTAAATATAAACCCAAGTACCCTGATAAGGCTGAGCAATTAAAACACAGAAGGGGGGAACATGACCACAGGGGCCGAGACTGGAGGCACACAGTCACACACACTGAAGAAAGCGTGCGCGCGCGCATGCATGTGCACGCGCATGCATGTGCGCGCGCATGCATGTGCACGCGCATGCATGTGCGTGCGCATGCATGTGCACGCACACAGGTGCTCCAGGAGGCAAGCTGAGTCTGGGAATGTAGCCCAGCTGATGTCCCGACCTCAGCTCAGGAAAAGTGACTTCACACAGCTGGCTGGAAAGCCATTTCTGTTGTTTTACATTCCAAATTTTGGTGGTGCTTTGCCACAGAAGCCATAGCAAAGTAACACATTCAATTAAGTTAAAATTTGCAAGTTCTGGGGCCGGGGAGATAGCTCAGTAGAATAAGCACCTGCCTGGCAAGCGCAGGGTCTTGAGTTCAATTCCCACTACTGCAAAAAAAAAAAAGTTCATAATAATACTAAAATAAAAAAATTATTCATTTCTATGTAGGATAAGAGGAAACCAATTCATTATTTGTGACTGTTTTGGTTTGTGTCTAAGTGTCTCCCCAAAGCCTCATGCAGTCTTGGGGTGGCTTCTGGAGTTCTGATTGATTACTGTGGATGTGGTTGCTACACCTGCCCTGGGGCAGGTAATTTGCATTTCAGTGTAAGGAGGAAAGAGAAGTTAGCTGCTTGAGCTTCGGCTACTCTCCTCTGCCCTCTGCTCTTTGCCACCGCCATGAAAGGCTGCCCTCTGCCATGTGCCGCTCTGCCTTGGACCCAGCTGAGTATGGACTGAAACCTCCAGTGACTGTGAGCTAAATAAACCTTTCCTTCCTTCATTTTGAGTGCCGAGTATTTGTCCCAGCAACGGGAGAAGAGTAACTAAGACACTGACCAAAGTTAAATAAAAAAGAAATTAAACTAGGTGTGATACAACATGCCTTTAGTCCTAGCTACCTGGGAGGCTGAGGCAGGAGGATCACAAATTTAAACCAGTCTGGGCAAGTTAGCGACTTAGCAGAACTATCTCAAATTAACAAAATCAAATCCACTGGAGATACAGTGCAGTACAAAAGCTCTGGGTTCAATTTTCAATATGAAAAAAAAAAAAAAGGAGAAAGAGCACAAGGTCAAAGCCAGCCTGGGCGACTCAGCCAAAACTTAAAATTCAAAAAGGTCTGGGAAGTAGCTCAGTAGTGGAGCAGCTTCTGGCTTTCAGCTCCTGTACATAAGTAAATACATAAATAAATAGGGCCCGGGATGGTGCTCGTCACTCCCTGGTCCAGTGCCCAGTAGTGCAAATAAAGAAGGACAAAGCTAAAGGGTCACCACACACCTTTGCTGTGTGAATGCATGGCAGGGAAACGCTTTCACTGAGAAGTTCCAGCCGATGGAACAGAAGGAATTCCAGAGCGGGATCACCCCAATTTCCTGGCCCCTCACAAAATATCCGTCTAGCCAGTGGTCATTAACAGCGACTGTCAACACATTAATCCTCTTTCTCTCACTCTGCCTAAAAAGTAAAATAAGGAGCTGGCGGTGGTGGCACATGCCTGTAACCCCAGCACTCAGGAGGCTGAGGCAGGAGGATCACTGCAAGGTTGAGACCAGCCTGGGATACAAAGTGAGCTCAAGGCCAGCCTAAGCTGCAGAGTGAGACTTTGTCTCAAAAAGACCAAAAAAAAAAAAAAAAAAAAAAAATTAGGAAGAAAAAAATATTTGGGTGAGCACATTTTTTTGTAAAATATTCAATTT